CGTATCACACGCATAGGGTTTCTCTCCTGTGTGAGTTCGTATGTGTGTCTTAAGACTGGATAGGTGACGGCACCAGTAGTCACATGTATCACACGCATAGGGTTTCTCTCCTGTGTGAGTTCGTATGTGTGTCTTAAGACTGGATAGGTGACGGCACCAGTAGTCACATGTATCACACGCATAGGGTTTCTCTCCTGTGTGAGTTCGTATGTGTGTCTTAAGACTGGATAGGTGACGGCACCAGTAGTCACATGTATCACACGCATAGGGTTTCTCTCCTGTGTGAGTTCGTATGTGTGTCTTAAGACTGGATAGGTGACGGCACCAGTAGTCACATGTATCACACGCATAGGGTTTCTCTCCTGTGTGAGTTCGTATGTGTGTCTTAAGACTGGATAGGTGACGGCACCTGTAGTCACATGTATCACACGCATAGGGTTTCTCTCCTGTGTGAATTAGCTTGTGTGTCTTAAGATTGGATAGTTGAGTGCACCTGTAGTCACATGTGTCACACTTGTAGGGTTTCACTCCTGGGTGAGTTCGCTTGTGTGCCTGGAGAGCAGAGGATGACATACATTTGTACTCGCATTTGTCACATGCATAGGGCTTTCCACCCGAGTGAGTTCGAAAGTGCTCCTTCAGACGACTCAAGTGAGAATATGAATATGAACAAATATCACACACATACGGTTTCTCGCCTGCATGGGTGCGTTTGTGTCGCTTGAGGCAAGACATTTGAAAGCAGCTATAATCACACGTATCACACGCATAGGGTTTCTCTCCCGTGTGAGAGCGCATGTGTGTCTTAAGACTGGATAGCTGAGCGCACCTGTAGTCACATGTGTCACATGCATAAGGCTTTTCGCCTGTGTGAGTTTGAAAGTGCACTTTCATACAACTTAATTTAGAACATGAATATAAACAAATATCACACGCATAGGGTTTCTCTCCTGTGTGAATGTGCATGTGGGTCTGCAGATGCTTCTCTAGTGCGAATCTGTGTCCACATGTATCACACGCGTATGGTTTCTCTCCTCCTGCAGGCGGCACATCTAAGTGGGAAGACTCCATCACACGGGTGGGAGGCTAAGCAGTTTCTTCCCCCGCGCAGATTCTCTCGTCTGTCGTTCGACTTCCTGCGGGGAAAAAAATCAACATCAATCACCAACTTTCTTCAGCTTCAGGCATTCTTACTGTGAACACGGTTGTCTATATCAATACGATGGAGATTTGCTATGATTTGGACCATCTCCTACAGGGTTCTCCCCAGGATGAAATTCAAACAGGGGGGAGGGGAGGGGGAGGG